TTGGGGCGGGGGGTGGGAAATGCTGATTCATCAAAAACTGAAACTATTCACAGAAACATTATCAGTTTTGACAAAACTTTTCTTGGGACTGGATCTCCGGTCCAGGATGGAATTTCTGGTCAAAACAGAAGATAAAGTCCATGCATCTCTCACATCCTAGGTGAATGCCCTAACCATTGGGCTATAAACTCAGTTTCTTTCTCTCTGACCCAATGGAGCTGTTTCATTTTGTATAAATAATTAAATATTCAGCAGGAGAGACTGAGAAACACACCCCAGAATAGCCAATACCTGGTGGTTAATCCTGCACTTGGCTGTTAGCTAATCTGGGGTGACTCTCCCTCATAATTTCAAAGAACAAGTTATAAATTACTTAGACAAGTTAGATGTCTTCAAGTCACCAAGGCCTGATGAAATGCATCCTAGAATACTTAAGGCGCTGACTGAGGATATATCTGAGCCATTAGTGATTATGTTCGAAAAGTCATGGAAGACTGGTGAGATTCCAGAGGACTGGAAAAGGTCAAATATAGTGCCAATCTATAAAAAGGGAAATAAGAACAACTCAGGGAATTACAGACCAGTCAGCTTAACTTCAGTACTCAGAAACATAATGGAGCAAATAATTAAGCAATCAATTTGAAGACACCTGGAAGATAATAAGGTGATAAGTAACAGCATAGATTTGTCAAGAATAAATCATGTCAAACCAACCTAATAGCTCTTTTTTTGACAGGGTAACAAGCCTTGTGGTTAGAGGGGAAGTGGTAGATGTGGTACATCTTGACTTTAGTAAGGCTTTTGACACTGTCTCACATGACCCTCATAAACAAACTAGGGAAATACAACCTAGATGCAGCTACTAAAAGGTGGATGCATAACTGGTTGGAAAACCGTTCCCAGAGAGAAGTTATCAGTTGTTCACAGTCAACCTGAAAGGGCATAATGAGTGGGGTCCCACAGGGATCAGTTCTGGGTGGGGTTCTGTTCAATATCTTCATCAATGATTTAGATAATGGCATAGAGAGTACACTTATAAAGTTTATGGACAATACCAAGCTGGGAGGAAAGATTGAAAAAATTGGGTTTTGTTTAGTCTGGAGAAAAGACGACTGTGGGGGGGGGGGGGACACGAAAATAGTTTTCAAGTACATAAAAGGTTGTTACAAGGAGGAATGAGAAAAATTATTCTCTTTAACCTCTGAGGATAGGACAAGAAGCAATGGGCTTAAAATGCAGCAATGGCCGTTTAGGTTGGACATTAGGAAAAACTTGCTAACTGTCAGGGTAGTTAAGCACTGGAATAAATTGCCTAGGGAGGTTGTGGAATCTCTGTCATTGGAGATTTTTAAGAGCAGGTTAGACAAACACCTGTCAGGGATGGTCTAGATAATACTTAGTCCTGCCATGAGTGCAGGGGACTGGACTGGATGACCTCTCGAGGGCCCTTCCAGTTCTATGATTCATCCCCATGTGGAATTGTGAAGAGGAGGTGGGAAGACATCTTAAAAACTGTTTCCTGCCCAGCTCTATTAATAGGCCACAGACTCCAGAGTCTGTAGCACATTTTAAAAGGAAAAATGTAGACTTGTGACTTTAAAACTCTGGCAAACTTGTGTGTCCTATCGAACTTGCCACAAGTCCTGTACAGACTCCACGTGGCTAAGACTACTTTGGTCATTGCCCATGATCAAATAAGCTTTTTTGTAGAAGAATAATAATTTGCATATACATAGTTCCTCTCTTATGAGGGTCCCAATGCTCTTTATCTATAATGAATTAAAGTTCACAACACCTGTATGAGTTACAGATGGCAAAACTGAGACACGGAGAGGTTAACGTGACTTGTCCACCATTACACAGGAAGCCTGTTGCAGAGCTGGCAATAGATCCCAGGTCTCCTGACTCCCCATCCTATGCTTTAGTCAAAAGACCACGCTTCCTGACAGAAAGGAAAGCAAATGTTTTAAAGCAGCTGTGAGGTGCCTTGCTGGCAGGAGAGAATCCAAGATGATGATTGGGATTTAACAGGGCCCACACACTAAGCACTGCACATTTTTGTAGAGAATCCCATGGCATCACCACAGTCACCAGTTGATATGAACTGAATTAAATATGAATTGTCTGCAGATGTCAAGGACCACATTAATACCTGACTCCCATCCTGTATGGACATGGGCTGCTGGAATGACATTCTTAAATACAAAATGCTGAGAGAAGCTCATCAGAATCCTCCCTCTTTCTCCAACTTCCAGGCAAAGGACAGGTTATGTAATGGGAAGTCTTTTGGGAACATCAGGATTGAGTGAAACTAATAAAATATAATTTCTACATTGTCCCTAGCAACTGCTACCACACTGACTGTTTCTGAGAACTATCTAGGCTCATTTACCTATGGGCAGGGCTGTGCAAATAGTGCAGGGTTCAGTTACAAACCAAGCTCAGTTTGCTTGGAGGGATTGGCAGTGAACCAGCCCCTGTAGGTTCACATGCAGACTTAAGTTCTGTGACCACAAAAGGCAAACAGGAACCCCAACTCTCATCTTTTCCCAGGTCACCCCATGTTCTATCTTTGTGGCACACAGGAGTGCCAACAGTAGGGCTGGGCAAGTGACTTTTCAGTTCACTGGTCATTTAAAAAAAAAAAAATTTGGGTCAACCAATAAATGAAAATTTTCACCGTTTCTGGCAAATCGAGAAGTCAAAAAAATCATTTTAGGTCTAACCAAACATCTTGTGCTTTGATTTCAAGCATGTTTTTAATGTTTAAAATAAAATTAAAGGACATTTCCAAATGAAAAGTCATTTTGAATAAAATAATTAAATGTTTCGATTTTTTCAAAATTTATTGTTTGTTTTTTGATGAAAACAATTTGGCAAAATTGACATAAATTTGCTAAATTGTTTCACTGACCCCAAATCTGCATTTTCTCCAAAAAAATGTTGGTTGAAAAATTTCCTTCAGCTCTAGCGAGCAACTGACCAATCCTCTCTCCTTCTAGCTGGCCTCTCAGTCCTTCTCCTTGTCTTCAGAGGCTGCCTAATAAATGTCACTGACCTTCAGTCTTTACATGTGTTTTCTGGGGTTGGAGGCAGTTGCACGTGCAAACTTCAGCATCAGCCCAGGTATGTGAACTGTTCACCTGCCCATTGCCCTTTTCTCATTATTCCACCCTGAACTGGGACTGGATTATCCAAAAAATAGCAATTTGCCTTTATATTAGCATAAGAATAGCATCATGATGAAAAATTATCTATTCTCTGTGTGTCAGGAAACCCCTTTGATGTATTGAGAACTAAGATGTTGCCTGTGCTTTACCATCTGCAACACGCTCAGTGAGCCTCTTCATTGCTGCTGGTGATGTTGCTACCACTTGCACAACTCACTTAGTGCAGCCAGCATGGCTCATTCTTCATATACGAATATAGAAAGCTTCCTAGGTTGTACATTTGCCCCTCTAATTTACAACTGACTACAGAAGATGGGTCAGGAAACTATTCTCCCTTGCTGTGACACATCAGGATGAGTCTACTCAAAGTCTGGTTGCCGATTGGAATGCTAACAAATTCATATGCGATCATGTGTGTCAGATACTGTTCTGTGCATTAGTCATGCGCCTACTGATCCATTGGCAGAACTTTCCAAATGCCAGTGGATTGAATAAAGGTAACTGTAGGAGGACCTAGAAGACAGAGAAAAATCAAAAGTAGAGTTGGGATTAATTTTTCCATTAGAATTAACCTACCAACCTAACCAGATCCTTAGCTGATCTAAATTAGCATAGGTCCACTGAAGGTAATGGACCTTCTCCGATTCACACCAGCTGAGGATCTGACTTACATAGTGCAAAATCCACACTCTACATAAAATCCAGAACACTGAAATACTCATTACCGTCATGTATACATTATGAAAAACAAGCCACCAAACAGATTGTTACAGACAGCGTGGATGTATGTATCAAGTGATTGATTAGTACAATTTAGGAACCTTAAAGAAATCAAATTAGACAAAATAAATCAAATTTATCCAAAACAAGATAGAACACAGCAGACAATATACTGTCTCAAAATACTGATGGGGAAAGAAAGATTTTTTTGTTGGTTCGTGTGCATGTGTCTGTGTATCAGGAGTTAGTGAGGGTTCTTCTATTTTATTGCGCTGTTGTGTATGATTCAGTCATTTGTTTAAACGGTGTCTGTCATTTTCAAGTTAGTTCACTGACCTCTCCTCTTTTGGAACTAGTGGTGGTACTTTGTCAAGTCAGTGTTCACTGTTTTAATGCCAGCTGGTTTCTGCTGTCCTCCATTTGTAATTGTTAACTTGAATGGAATGCAAAAACTCTGGTTTGGGACTAGTAGAATTTTAACTTTGGGTAAGTTCAGGGAAGTTGAAAAGTGGGCAGGCTTTCTTATTAGGAAAGCACCTTGTTGAGAAGTTCCTTTTACATTCATTTTGCTTGTCACTGTGATTTGGTTCTGTTCACATAATTTTACTGTGTGATTTCAGAGCACAGTAGGGCTGGTCATGGTTTTTTTTTTTTTTAAGTTGTAACTGTCATTGGGATGACTGTTCCTCTGTGCTGAAGAGTTATTTAGAAACGATATACTCCATTTTATTAACTGTTCGTCAGTTTTCCTGTTAGACATGCCTAGGCTTGCTTGCAGATTAGAACAATAAAGAAAAAGGTTATCATGATTTACTCCTTCAAAAATATTTATTAATAGTCCTGCTGATGTAGTTTTCCCCCCGGCATCCTTCTCTCATATCCCTCTTTAATATTAGGGATTTTTTTATTTCGGGGGAAGAGGGAGTCAAAACAGGGTTTCTTTGCTGCATTTGCACTGCCCTGTACTGCATATATGTGTCTTTGTGACCATGATAGCGTGTTCTCGCAATGGTGTTTGCATGGAGGGTGGGACAGAAGGTTGCTTAGTGTCTCGTAAAACATTTACCAAAAGCAGTCAGCCATGGATTTGAAGGGCATTCCATTGCCAAGCTGCCTGTGGGAGGGGAGAGAGAGTGAGAGAGCACAAGAGCACACCAGGTACTTGCCAGGTACTGTTTCATACTTTAATTTTTCTTGAGTTAGAAATTCAAGAAGAGCAATGGTGTTTGACTGTAAAGGTTGCTAATGGTTTACATGGCAGAACTTGAAAATCAAAACAGTAACTAGCATTTCTCTTTATAGGTTGTTTTTGTCAAATATAATTCAGTTACAAACTGTAATCTAAGGCATCGATTGATCAATGTCTATTTGCTTTTGGGGGTTTTTTTAACTGCAGAAGTAAAATTCATATGAATTATATAAGTAATGATCTTCATACGGTTGAGGTTTTCTAATGAATTAAAACCAACTGGACTCAGCTTGTCCTGTAACCGAAGGGTTAGAACAAAAGTCAAGGCTTCTAAAATAAAATGTGTAATACAGTGATTGAAACAGGGATGTGGTTAGTGACTCACTCTGTTAAAAGACATGCCAAATGTTGAATCTAGTTTTGCTAAAAGAGGCAACATGACAAACTTTTTCAGGATTCTTTTTTTCCCTGTGCTGTCCAAGTTCCAAGACATAGACAAATGAGATTTATAATTATTTTCTAATAGTATCCACATATAGAAAAGACAGAAGTGAAGCTGAGTAGTTTCAAAGAACTGCTCTACGAATATTATAGATAGAAAAAATATATCACATGATATAAACTGATTCAACCAAATGGTAATATGTCCTCCTTCTGTAATGGTATAATTTGATAATTCTAACATGTTTTGAGATATAACCTTAATAATGACCGAACCACCCCACCCCCATGATTTCCCAGTTTGTTCTCAAGTAATCACAAGAGGTGAGTTTTCAATAATAGCTTGATGTGTAATAAATATTAAATGTGTGATAGGTAAAATTCTATGATTATCTACAATATGTTCTGAATCCAAAGAGGGGAGGTAAAATAGGGAAAATATATCACTAGTAAGGGAAAATCTGTTATTTCTTTAGAGGGGAAAAATGCTACAGCATCTGTTGCTTCAGCTTTCCTCCTACTAAGTCAAGCTCAGCACAACATCCTATGCAGTTTTGCTTTAATACCTCTCTGATGTAAGGGAACACTCTATAAATCTGTGTGTTGCTTACAGTACTCACATGCTAGAGAGTAGCTAGATTTAGTAGATAGCCATTGGTGCTGGATGCTATTAAAGTTTAACAGCCCTTGAAGTATATTAAAAGTTGCTTATACCAAATGTGATGTTGATGTATCATGCTGCATAGGGCCACTAAAAACCTAGTACAGAGTGCAGTGGTCACAGCTCCTGCAAAATAGTGAGACAATTACTGGAAAACAAGGTATCTGAAATCCCACAACACTGAGCTGTAAATAAATGAAACAGGCCTTCAGAAATGTAAAGTCTGGGTAAAACCAGCACCCTAGTCCTTCAGCTATTACATAGAAAAGCAACCCTTGTATTAAAAACAATCCCGGGCACCACCAGTGACTTTCATTTCTAGATCTCATAGTAAATATGAGTCTTATATTTGCATGCAAATAATTTTCTGTCAATGCCAGACTATAAATTAGGCTGATATAGTTTAAGAACTTTTGGTTACAATCTTAAAAATCTGAAACAAAAGAGAGCAACGTTATCTTGCCTGTTGTCATGTGATGATAGAGTTCTAGCAGGTCACCAGAAGGAAGAATTAATGGATTAAATAGAAGGGATAAGACTGTTGACAAAATTTGTTCAGTCTTTCAGTCCTGTTTACATTTCAAAAAACCTACTTTGGTGGGATTCCAAAGACTGTATACCTATGAATCTTGTTCCCAAATGCCTGTGCAGGAATGCAAAGAAACACCATCAAATAGATACAAATTTCAATTGAAAGAGGCCATAATAGTTAAAAGGTCCATGAGCAAAAGCTGCTGTCCATAGTTTGCTGTCATACAGGGGTTGCACTTAAACCTTTTCTAATTTTGCCTTGGATAAATAGAGAATGTTACTTCAGGATATGCTTTATTCCCTAGATAACAATATCAAATTATTTTTAACTTTTCCCTGTAGTTTCTTGTCCTGTTTTAGGGATTACTGCAAATATGGTTGTGACACTTTTTAACTAAGGCATTTGAAAAAAATTAATTGTGATTGCTGTATCAGAGGTAATACCAGTCAAATACCACTGCAAGCAGTGGAATTGCACAGGTATCATTGAGATCATAATTTGGCCTGCAAAACCTTTACTGTGGGTGATAGTGTATGAATTGGAAAGAATCCAGCTTGATTCTCAGAGCTTAGGTTGTTTGCAGGACTGGCAATTAGAATTTTTTTTAAAATTTTAAACTGAGCTCATGTGATACAGAAATCATTGATAAACCAAAAAACTTAAAATTAAATGGAGCCCACAATGCCATTTTTACAGTATCACTTTTCTGAGCAGCAAGCATTGCACTTTAAGTTTCCATGGAAATTGATATTGAAAGAGGAAGATTTCTACTCATAATTGAATCGGACATACTTGTGATCAATGGTCACTTCAAACTGGATCCAGTCTCTTGAGTTATTTTGGAAAATGGTACTATTCCCTTAGAACACACTTCTTAGGTATTGGATGATAAAGAACAAAGTCCAAATTCTAATCACAGTTGCCAAATCCAAAAAACAGCAGCAATGACAAATCCCCGCTCTCTCTCCCTCCTAAAAAAATATACTGGGCATGATCTTGCACCTACTGAAGTGATTACCAGAACTGCTATTGATTTCACCTGGAGCAGAAATGGACCCTTTAGCGTTTGCTATGGAATTAACATTTATTCTTTTTGTTTGGTTGGTTTTGCTAATTTACTGTGTGTGTGTTTTATTGGCATAGGGCATTACAGCTTCTTTAGGGTGAAAGGGGACGTTTTCAAAGGGACAAGGAAAGAGCAGTATTTATTTGGTAGAAGTATGTTGAGTTTGAATAAACTAACCATCAAGAAGCTACATTAGTATACAAATGTTTTAATGAATTAGATAAACGTTTTATTTTTTAAAATAAAATTTTAATGTGATGCTATGAGCATCAAGACAAAACGGTGCCAATTAAAGATGTGCATGTTTACTTTTGCTCAGTGTTTGATGTGTGCATTGAAATTGGGACACAAGCATTCATGCATAAAAAAAACCCCTTGCTTGCATGTGTCAGGGATTTGCATTCCTAAAGTGCTACATGTATGTATGTCTTTGAACATTTAGGCCATATTTAAAGTATTAATAGTGGCCAATACAAAAACTAAAAAGAAATGGAAACAATTGAATCTTTACAGTGAATGGCAATTTGATAGGACATCTCACAGAGAAAAAAAAATCAGCTATAGCTACTGTAAGGACAATATTGTTAACTGAAGACCTGGGACAAATTCTGCTCTAAGTTACACCAGTTAAAATCCAAAGTAATTCTACTGAAGTCAATGGAGTTATTTTGGACTTATACTTATGTAAACTGAAATCAGAATCTGATCCTCTCTTTGCTAAGCCTCCTAACTTCAGTGCAACTCACTATTGTGATAACATTATAATATAGTTTAATTTTGTATAATGTTTTTCACACAAACTATCCCAGAATGAGTTATAAAGTTCCTAATGAGAGACAGCCCACAGTATAGCATAAATCATAAACCACAATGTAGACTCTTGGCCCAGATCCTGAACCCTGTTGCAGCCATTTTGTATCAGGCCCTAGAAAATAATCCAGCCCTGTGCTCCCACTCAATTTGCAATGTGGCTTGCTCTCCCAGAGGTATCTGGAAGGGGCATTTTAATAAGTCAGACTAAATATTTGTGCCTCCATGACCGCCAAATAACCAGACCTCCTAATTGGCTCAGGAACTGCAATTGTGTCTGCCCCTTGCACTTCTGTCAGGCACAATCTTTGTAAATTGTGTGTGTCCTTTGAGATTGTGGCAAACTGTCAGTCTGCTCTCTGCTGGGCAAAGTTTGGGGCTTCCAATATTCTATTGCGATTCTACTGCTCATTCCAGTGGCTGTTATTCATTCTAGTGTTCTTGTACTGCAATTGCTGTGCAATCAAGAAGATAGTGTACATTAAATTTTGTATATATTCTTCCTGATCCTACATAATAACTAAGATATTTAGTAGTAAATCTATCTGATATGACAGAACTGCTCGCTCCCCCCTCCTTTGTGTGTGTGTGTGTGTGTGTCTCTCCGTCTGTCTTTCTGTCTCTCCATGCAATCTTTTTATTTAAGAACAGGGATGGTGGTAAAACTTAACACTGCTGTTTAATAATTATTATTTTTTCACGTGACTTGAAATGGGAACTGCAAACACTTTGAGCCTAGGACTAAAAGAGGAGTTTCACTGCAGCTTTTGAAAGTACTCCTGCATGTTCTATTGAAATGTTGATTTTAGTATCTTCCCACACGTCTCAGTGATCAAAACAGATATCTCCATTTATACCACACTGAAAGGTCGGACACCAAGCCAAACGGTCAGTAGAAAAGGTCCCTGCTCCAAGAAGCTTACAGTCTGGAAGTCAGACAGGACACAAATGAATGTGACGAACATGGCACTGGGTTGTGCTCGGACAGGGTTACATGAACAAGGTTACGGGCTCACTCCGTTAATTCATGATGAACAATCTAAAAAGTGTCTATGTTTGTCAGGGGCCAGCCAGCAGTAGAGTGCTTGGTCCTGTCCCGGCCTCCACTATTGCTAGCCTTGCTCTTGCTTCAGCCCCAGGCTATACCAGCTCCCACCCCCAGCTCCTTCCTGATCTCTGACTTCTGGCTCAGACCCTCAGCTCCACCTTCTGCCTACAACTCCAGCTAACTCTTCAGCTTAGGCTATGGCCTCTCACTCCCGGCTATGACCCTTGGCATCACTCCTGGACCCACCCCATCTGGATTCAGCTCCAACTGGTAGGCCTGATTCTTGCTCCAACTGCTAGGCTAGACTGCCCATGGCTCAATTGCTGACAATATTTCATTAGTTCACTTATTTTAGACTTAATAACACAAAAATACTTTTACTGGGGGAGGGGAGCTCTTTTTTCCTCTTATGGCAACAATAC